AGGTTGCACCTTCTACCAAATATCTTCTATTTGTGTACTTTTTGACTAATTTTTGGTTTGTTAATTCATTACCAAGTCATTGGTGACCTGTAAGAATCCATAGCTAAAATGATAAATCACCAATCACCACATCCTATAAAAAATAGTAGCACCATAACTACATGGAAAACTTACAATATTGGACCTCAATTTATTGTTCATAAGCAAGTTAATCTCCACCTTTAAATAAGAAACAAATTGGTTTTGAATATCCAATTCTTCTTTAAGTTTTCACGTGACCCTCAAATTTCTAAGAATCGACCTAGGTTTTAAAGCAACATCTATATAGCCCTTGTTTGATTTTGCTAAAAATCGTACGGCTTGTATATTTTGATCAAAGTTGATAAAAATTATGGGTCCAATAAAATGTTTTGTTAAAATTAACTGTTAACTTTGATTTAGAATTTTTATTATACTTTTTAATTAGACCAAATAAGGCATAGATACGCATGGACCATGTGAAGAATTAACACAAGTTTGATCAGTTTCATAATTGAAGATTATTTGTGCAACAATAATGAAAGACATACTAGTGTTTGCAACCGACGGTACAATTTTATATTGGCAAAAACAATTCATTACAGCAGTTTTGGCCACTAACATATGACCTTTTCTTCCCCCATGGGGTGGCCTCCATTTCTTACTTTCAAATTATCCTCCATTAGAGCCACTTCTTGTTGATCTTTATTTCAATGAAGAAGCATCCACAATACCTTCTGCTAACTCTAATTCTAACTATCCAATCCATATCCGCTACTGACTTTGTCTTCAATGGATTCCATTCTGCAGACATATTACTCTATGGAAATGCCACAATTGAATCAAGAATTCTTACACTAACCAATGACACAACTTTCTCGATTGGTCGTGCTCTATACCCGACAAAGATTATCACAAAACAACCAAATGTTTCTGGTGTTCTTCCATTTTCGACGTCTTTCATTTTCGCTATGGAGCCTTACAAGGATAGGCTGCCGGGACATGGCATAGTTTTCTTGTTTGTACCACATATTGGGATCCAGGGTTCCAGCTCAGCACAGCATTTAGGCCTATTCAACTTTACAAATAATGGGAATCCAACTAACCATGTTTTTGGTATTGAGTTTGATGTTTTTAAGAATGAAGAATTCCAGGACATCAACGACAATCATGTCGGAATTGATGTCAACTCACTTGTATCAGTAGCTTCTGAGGAGGCAGGCTATTGGCCTGATAAAGGCTCTTTCAAGAAACTGAAGCTGAACAGTGGGAAAATTTACCAGGTTTGGATTGATTATGCTGATAATAATGTCAGTGTCACCATAGCACCTGTTGGGACGACAAAGCCTAAACAACCTTTGCTGAATATTTTTATTAATTTTTCCGAAGTTTTCGAGGAGGAAATGTATGTTGGTTTTACTGCATCAACGGGAGCTTTGATTGAAAGTCACAAAATCTTGGCTTGGAGTTACAGTAATTCAAACTTTTCATTGAGTGAGGCATTGATCACAAGGGGATTGCCATCTTTTGAGCTTCCTGGAATATCGTTATATAAATCCAAAGGTTTTATTGCTGGTATGGCAGTGGGAGTTTTCTTGATTAGTATCATGTTTTTAGTAGTTGTTTTCTTGATCATTAGAAAGAATAGGAGAAGAAAAAGGGAGAGAGAAGAAATTGAAGATTGGGAATTAGAATACTGGCCACATAGAATTAAGTATCAAGAAATTGATGCAGCAACAAAGAGTTTTTCAGATGAAAATGTGATTGGAATCGGAGGAAATGGAAAGGTTTACAGGGGAATATTGCCTGGTAGAGCCGAGGTGGCGGTGAAGCGTATTTCGCATGAAAACGGTGAAGGAATGAGAGAATTCTTGGCTGAAATTTCAAGTTTGGGAAGATTAAAGCATAGAAATTTGGTGGGCTTGAGGGGTTGGTCTAAGATAGAAAAGGGCAGCCTAATATTGGTTTATGATTATATGGAAAATGGGAGTTTGGACAAAAGGATTTTCGAATGTGATGACGCCAAAATGTTGAGTTTTCAAGAAAGAATAAGAATCATAAAGCAAGTGGCTTCAGCTGTCTTGTATTTGCACAATGGATGGGAGGCGAAAGTTCTGCACAGAGACATTAAGGCTAGCAATGTGTTACTTGATAAAGAAATGAACGCAAGACTAGGCGATTTTGGGCTAGCCAGAATGCATGACCATGGACAGGAGGCTGGTACGACTCGCATAGTTGGAACCATCGGTTACTTGGCACCTGAGGTGGTCAAGACCGGTCGAGCATCGACTCAGACCGATGTGTTCAGCTATGGGGTATTGGTTCTGGAGGTGATGTGTGGTAGGAGGCCAATTGAAGAAGGCAAGCCACCGTTGGTAGATTGGGTATGGGATCTAACGAGACGCGGAGAATTACTTAACGCCCTCGATGATCAGTTAAGGGCTAAAGGAGGGTTCGACAAAGAGGAACTTGAAAGAGTGCTTCAATTAGGCTTGTTATGTGTGCATCCGGACCCTGATGTCAGGCCTACAATGAGACAAGTTGTGAAATTATTCGAGGGGAAGACTGAGGTTGATGGAGCCGAAGACGGGAATACAGGCACATCTCTCTTGGAGAAGATTAATAGTAAAGAAATCTGGTCCATTTATCCCCAGAGCTCTAGCACTGGTTCACATCCAACATTCGAAGAAATCAAAGAGGGGTTGTCTTCCTCCATGCCTTTTTGGTCCAATACTACTATGGAAGGTAGGTGAACAACCTAAACATATTCAGACTTCCAAGATTTTTTATTACGAGACTCGTTCTTCTCTTGGCGCCTTACATTCTCTTTAACACTTGATCAGGGGCGGACCTAGGAAATATTTTCAGTGCGGGCAAAAATTTCTCGAATCCGGTGTGCACTCGTAAATTTGAAGGATGAAAAGAAAACAAGGGAAGAATGGGAAAATTGAATGACGAAGAAAGAGCAGCAAACGAGAGAAGAATGAGCCGCCGAGCAAGATTGAAGGAACTGGGAAGAAATTTCAAGCTTGATTTCAATTTCATTTGTTTGAACATTTGGTAAGTACATCTGTGTATTTTCATCTCTTGCAGTAGGTTCAAGTACTCCTTGCCTTTACCATTCACCACATTTTTTTTTTAATTTACTTTGGCTGGGGCTGGCCGGCATGCACTGCACTGAGCGTGAACTTGGTCTGCCCTCGACTTGATCCATACAAAAATGTTCTTATTAATTTCCCTTCAGATGGGCTTAGAATTCTGGCTTTTGGGTATACATTTTCAGTGAAATAATCAGATAGGCTTAGGTGTTCCAATTGAACAATAATTAAAGAGCTTTTGTTCCTTCTATTCATTCCTTTTAATGATGAAAGTAGGATTATTAATTTCAGTAATAATGAGTTTTCACAATATGCTCACTAGTGCCCTTGGATTCATTATGCCTGTTTGGAAAGAACATCAAAATAAAAGCAACTGTAATTTACCTACCCTATTAATTATCAATAAAAAAAATAAAAATTAAAAACATGAAAGAAAATGGTTCATCTTTATGATAATTTTTCTTAAATCAGACCAAACAAATCGTATAATCCAGAAAATTCTTAGTACCCTGAAAGGTCAAGTCTAGACTCGAAGGTGAAGGAAATTAGAGAATCAAACTGGCTTTTCTAACATTTAATGGACAAGTAATTTTAATTCTTTATTATAAGAAAAGGAAAACTATCTGAAAGGGGTCCAAAAAACCCACACAATAAGTTGCAAGATACAATCAATCAAAATAACATAAATTAAATTTGCAGAAAATAAAGAACATAACAAGATTTTTCGGTCGAAGCCCCAGAGGTTCAGTGACTAGCACCTAATCCCCTGTTGAGCATCCAATCGAAAGTGGATATTGCTCGGTTGCACTAAAGCCCCAAAAATAGGCAATCGAAGGTTACAACCATTACAAGAATACACAAGAAAGAGACTTATTTCTTTAAAGGAACCACAGATTTGCCTCAGACTCACAATGAATCAACAGACCACATCCCTAACCTCAACACACGAGGACTCTAAGTATCACTCAAGAATATACCAGCATTCAGTGGTTAACCGCCTTCCAAAATACACATCAAATGAGATGATCGATTACAGAAAATAGGTAAAACAGAAAACCCTAACTCGAGAGAACAGAAGAACACTCTCGAATCTCACTCAAAAGTCAGACAAAATGAAAAGTCGCGTAGCCAAACGAAGCGTTAAATCTCATATATATCACCAAAAATGTAACCCTTCGTCCAATGGTAGGAATAAAGCTAGGTGTCATCATCAAGTAGAATGCCATTTATAAAATTCGCATTTTCATAACACGTTTTAATGGCTGAAAATATGGAAGCACCAATATCATGGTTCGAGTCACAACACTATTGAACAGGTAGAGTGCAAAGGTTTTGGAAGAATTCTCTCATGATATTGATTCTTCTGTGTGTTCTTCTTTACAGATTGATTACAGTATATATAAAGAATGAAATGATTATCGGCCTAACGAAAACAAGTCAACTGCCTAGCAAGGGAATCTATACAAACTAACTATGTTGGAAAGGAAAACTATATAACAGAAAAGATACTATATCCTTCTAGATTTCTTCTTCCATCTGTGTTCCAGCTTGTCATCCATGTGTACATGCCTTGCTGACTACTAGGTTAACTAAGTTGCAATTGATTTACATTTTCTAATAGTCCCCTGCAAGGTGGAGAGTAGATATCTTCTGCTCCCATCTTGAGCAAATGAGAGCAGAAAATAGAAGAACTTAAAGCCTGAATCAGGAGGTTCGCAACTTGTAATCCACTACTAACATAACCAGTGGTTATGCTTCCATCTTGAATCTTGTCACGGATGAGATGACAATCAAGCTCAATGTGCTTGGTTCTTTTATCAAAAGTAGGGTTTGATGCGTTGTGAAGTGTAGCCTAGTTATCACAAAACATAGTAGCCGCCTGAGAATGTGTAATCTGCAAGTCACGAATTAAATATCTCATCCAAGTTAATTCACAGCACAAATTACCCATTGCCCAATATTCTGCCTCTACAGATGATCTGGACACAACACGTTGTTTCTTTGACTTCTAGGATACCAAAGAAGACCCAATAAACACACAATAACCACCGACTGACCTCCTCGTATCCTGGCATGCTTCCCAATTTGAATCACAGTAACCTGTAAGTTGGAGGTTCGATTGAGGAGAATAAAACAAACCTTGTCCTGGGGCCGTTTTGATATATCTTAAAATCTTGTAGGCTGCATTAAGGCGTGGTAATCTAGGGCTGCCCAAGAATTGACTCAAAAATTTTATTGAAAAGGATAGGTCAGGTCTTGTTAGTTAAGTGTAGTAATCTACCAACTAGCCTTCTATAGAGTGATGAATTAGGAGGAAGTTTTCCTTGCTCTTTAAAAAGCTTAAGGTTTTGATAAAGTGGAATTCGAGTTAGTGCTGCCCTAATTTTACCTGAATATCCCAAAATGTCTAAGGCATACTTTCTTTAGCATATGTGAATGCCATGATTTGATCTAGCCACTTCAATCCCAAGGAAGTATTTCAATTGTCCTAGATCTTTGATTTTGAGTTTCTCATGTAGGAAGGCCTTGGGATCATCAACAAAGTCAATGCATTTGTTGGCCACTATAATATCGTCGACATATACTAGGATGGCAGTTAGTCTTGTAAATGAGTTGTAATCAGCCTCAAATTGTGAAAAACCTTGCTCAATAATGAAGTTGGACAACTTAGACTACCTGTCTAGAAGCTTGTTTAATGCTATACAAGATTTTCTTTAATTTGCAAACTCTTATCCCATTAGCATTTGGATAACCCGGAGGCAATTGCATGTAATCTTTTTTCCTCCAAATCTCCATGCAGAAATGCGTTGTTTACATCAAATTGGTATAGATGCCAACCATTGACAGCAGCTAGAGCCAGCAAAGTACTTACAGTAACTAGTTTTGCCACGAGGAAAAATGTTTCATGATAATCAAAACCTTCATGCCGTGTGTATCCCTTGGCCACTAATCTAACTTTATATTTCTCTATAGTCCCATAAGCATTGAATTTAATTTTATAGACCCACTTACATCCTATGACTTTTTTACTAGGAGCCAGATCAATAACCAGCCAAGTATCATTTAATTCGAGAGCGTCTATTTCAGCTTTCATAACACTACACCACTCAGGAGATTCTAGTACTTCTTGGATATTTTTAGGTTTTGTATGTGCAATAATCAAAAAAATAAAAGCATTGTAGAGTAGAGAGTTTATGATATGACAAACTAGTCTCAAGAGGATAAGGATTACCTGTAGGAACGGTGACCCTTTGCTTGTCCAAAGCCTGTGAATGGAGAAGCAAAGCAACCTGTTGGCAGACAAAATCCTTAAGATGTGTAGGAGTCCTCTTGAGGACCTTTGAGGTATAACTTGTTTTTGGGATGGCTCATTATCGATTCCAAATGTATTTGCAGGTTCAGATGACTTGTGGTTTGTTCTAATAAAGAAGGTTCAAATGGTCGGGGGTAAAGATAATGAATATTTTGTTGAATGATCTGTTGGTGCATTTTGGTCTGAAGTGTTGATAAGAGTATGATTTGGGCTATTTACTATGTGATATAAGATAGTAGGAATTTCATAACTGAAATTTGTATATGAAGTTGGATTTGGAGCATAATCAGTATTAATGGTAGCATTCTGTTTACTTGAAGTTGAATTTGAAATAAAGTCAGCATTGATGGTAGCATTTTGCTTGTAAGGAAACACATTCTCGTGGAAGATAACATTCCTAGAGACAAAAACCTTATTTATTTCCAGATCCATTAATTTGTAGCCTTTGACTCCAAACGGGTATCCCAGAAATATGAATTTCCTAGTTTTAGGATCAAACTTATGTCTTCCATTTACTAGGGTAGTAGCAAAAGCTAAACTTCCGATAACTTTGAGATGAGTGTAATTTGGTTCGGTTTGGAAAAGAATTTCAAAGGGTGTTTTGTGATCTAAAAAAGGTGTATGGGTTCTATTTATAAGATAAACTGTTGTGAGAACACAATCACTCCAACATTTTAATGGGATGGCACTTTGAAATTTTAAAGCTCTTGCTATATTTAAAATGTGTTGATGTTTTCTTTCAACTATGGCATTTTGTTGAGGAATCTCCATACAAGTTTTATGATGAACGATTCCTTTTAGCGAGTAAAATTGCTTCATCTCAAATTCACCTCCATTGTTTGATCTAATAGTTTTAATTTTGCATTCAAATTGTATTTCAATCATGGAGCTGAAACTTTGCAAAAACAATGCTAGTGTCAGAATTGAATTTCAGCACATATACCCAAGTATTTCTACTAAAATTGTCCACAATAGCTATGAAATAACGAAAACCATTATAACTAATCTCATTGCATGGTCCCCAAATGTCACTATGTATGAGATCAAAACATTTTTCTGATATATGCTGGTTGATAGGAAAATGGCAATTTTTGTAGTTTGGCTAAGGTACAAATAGGCAAGGCTATTTGGTGGATCTTGTGGTGTTTTCTGGTAAACCAAATTTGGGATAGGTGGAGTGTCCTAACTTATAGTGCCAAAAGTTGAAATCTTCACCATTGTTGAAGGCAGGAGAGGCAGATATGGGTGCTTTTTGACTTAGATAGGCTAATCTCCTGGTCAAGACAAGAGGAGACACTTCATTTTGCATCATGTGATAGAGTCATTGCTTTACTTCGCCCATTCCAATCGTTTTTCAAGTCAAAAGTCCTATATAAAGAAAAATTAGGGAGAAAAGATGAGGTAACAATTCATGTTCTGTGTTATTTTCCGAGCTGATATCAGATTAAAAGAAAATGATGAAACACAAAGAACATTATCTAAAGTGGAAGACTGAAAATTTCAATGTCTCAATGTAAGTGACAGGAACAACCTTACCATTTGGGAGAGCTACTGAATATGAAACTTTTACTTTAATTGTGGTAAAGACAGAGGCTGAGTAGATCATATGATCTGTGGCCCTTGTGTCAAATATAGGGCTGGACAAAACTCTCGAATCGAACCAATCGGTTCTTCTTAAGTTAAATATCCAAACGAGTATTTGAATCGAAAATCGACGGGTTCTGTTCAATTCTCGGTTCTAGATCAAAAATCGAATAAGAGCCAAATCTCCATAGTTTTTTTTAATTAATTATTTCAAATAAGCCAAATTTTATTTTTCCAAATAAATTTGCTAACTAGTTAATTTAGCTCAAACTCAAAAATATGATTTCCCTATTTTTAATTTTCAGTTCAAAGTCAACTTAATCAAACTGACCTAAGTTTTTTCCAAGTATGTTACTCTACCATAGTTCCATTTCTACTATTTTGGAAAAATCAAACTGAAGCTCGACAACGCATCTCTTAATTATTTTAAGATCGTTATTTTCCTCTTCTTGTGATTTTAACATTCAAATCTATAAAAAAACTCAGCAAAGAGAGACGTAAAAGACACATAAAATTAGATTACGTTATTTTTAAGAGCAAAGATTGGACATATCATTAGTTGAATTAATGTAACTTTATAAATATTAAAAAATTTAATTATAATATGGAACCTAAAAATCTAACGAATCGAATCAAACCCGAACAATTCCACTTACTAAATACCCTAAAATTTGGATCCGATTCGGTTCTCGTTAGAACGGAACCAGATTGGACCATGTCCAGCCATAGTCTAATATCCAAGGTACAACTAAATGATGAGGAAGCTTATTGCTAAGGGCAAAGAGACATAGAGATATATTTGAAACTTTAGGCATCTCACCATCACCAAAATGAGTTGGAAGGACAGTCTTAACATGATTTGCAGAAGGTAGAAGGTTTAATGAGATTTGTGGTTTTAGCAGTGCCATGAGCTGAACATACTATTCCTGAGTTAAAGGTATTTGAGCTTTGTTATTTATCTGTTTATGGAAAGGAGGCATAAGTGCAATACTCTGATTAGCAAATGATGTTGATGGCTTGTTTCTCCCTTTTTGATTTGTGGCCTGATGGATACCCACGTAGCTTGAAACATTTTCCAACTGTATGACCAGGCATTTGGCAATAAGAACGTGCTGGTTTGTTTGGATTAGCCTTGAAGCATCGTTCAAGGGAATGCCTAGCTTTCTTACAACAGGTACAATAGTACCTTTCTTTCTTCAGAGAGGATTGGTTTTGTTTTCTCACATCAAAGTTACCCTTAGCAAGTAGTGCCATAGTTTCATCAAGTGAACTATCAGTGGAGTTTGCCTCCTTGTCTCTTCTTGCTGAATGATGGATTATACTTCATTCAAGTTTGGGAAAGGCTTAATGAGAAGAATTTGAGCCTATAATCCCTTATACGTATCATTGAGACCCATTAGGAATTTCATAACCCAATCTATTTGTTGGTTGTTCACCACAACTTTCAAACCGCTACAAGATTAATTAGGTACTAATTCATAATTTAGTAACTCATCCAAAAGAGTTTTCAGCTTTGAGAAATAAACGCTTACACTGTCTTGGTTTTGCAACAGGCTTGCAATACTTTGTTTGAGTTCAAAAATCCTTGGTGCATTTTGCTGTGCCAACCTTTGTTCAAGTTCTTTCCATAGCTGATGTGCCGTTTCAACATACGTGATGCTGCATTTTATGCCCCCTTTTGGCCCCCATTCTTTCCAAATTTTAATGATTGGAATAGTATTTTTTTGAAAAATGTGTGATTGAAAAAAAATGAAAAGTTTTTTTAATTGTGTGTGATATTATTTTATGGAAGAGTGTGTAGTTGAAAATAAGATAGAGAAAAAGAATGAAAAAGAGAATGGGGGTCAAATGGGGGCAATGTCAACTGCCACAGCATTCTGCAACCAAGTAATGACTATATCATTGCATCTCAACCAATGCTCCATAAGTGGGCTATCTGCATCACTTGGCTCTGAAATGCTTCCATCAACAAAATCGAGTTTGTTTTTAATCCTGAGTGCGCTTCGCATCAAACGTGCCCGGGAATGATAGTTATTTAAATACAATACATGAATTACGAGTATGGATGTTTGGCTGTGAGGGATCAATCGGGGTTGGATTTGGGTGTTGATTTATATCTGTGTTTGAAGATTCAACTGAATTTGGATTAGCAGAATTAGGTTGTGCCATGGTTGGCTCTGATACCATATAAGAAGAGAAAAGGAAAACTATCAAGCAGGTAGAGTGCAAAAGTTTTGGAAGAATTCTCTCATGATATTAATTCTTCTGTGTTCTTCTTTACAGATTGATTACACTATATATATAAAGAATGAAATGAATATCAGCCTAACGGAAACTATACAGCTGCCTAGCAAGGGAATCTATACAAACTAACTCTGTTGCAAAAGGAAAACCATATAACAGAAAATATACTATATCCTTCCAGATTTCTTCTTCCATCTGTATTCCACCTTATCGTGCATGTGTACTTGAGAGTGCATGCCTTGCTGACTACCAGGCTGAGTAAGCTGCAGTAGATTTCCATTTTCTAATATTTATTAGTGAATCTACAGCTTTTTAACTAGCAAAAGTTATGCTTTCCTCATTCTTGATAATGTGACACAGGGTCGAAGATAAGAATCATGAGAATACATTGCTGGCCGTTGATGAATGCTGATGAAACAAACACCTAAGTTTGATGGTGAGGATACATCTAATATTGATGGTGTTGAGGTGTGTGAACTATCTGGGTCCTTCATAAAAGAAGTTCAGGGAAGCTGCTATTTTACATAATATTGGCCTCACCTAAGTTTGTTGCCTTGAATTTTGGAATCTACTTGCCATTAAATTACTTCTTTTGCAGCGTGGTAAGTATCATTGGAC